CACTTCTGGGGATTTAGCCGCAGCCGAAATTCCCTGATCCTTTGAAAGAACTTTTGCAAGGCAGTGTAGTGGCCCTCTCTTTCTTTGGACTTGACAATCATGTCGTCCACGTACACCTCAACCTCATGGCAGCTTATCTGGCTAATCCCGGTAGGTTTCCACCATCTTCTGCAGTATGTGTTTGATATTCTTGTTGGCGGCCTCGACCGCTCCGTTAGTTTATGGCCGGTATGTGGATGACTTATGAAAAGCCACGTTGTATTTCTCCAACAAGTCAATCACTTCTTCTTGAAGTGGGAACGTTATTCGAAATAATCTCATTTGGGACCCCGTAGCGGCAGATGATGTTGTTTCTGATAAACTTTGCAATGTGCGACGCCTTCAACACGGCATATGATTGGGCCTCAACCCACTTTGTAAAGTAATCTATCGCGACCAAGATGAACTCATGCTCATTCGACCCTTTTGGAGTGACAGCCCCGATCACATCGATTCCCCAAACTGAAAATGGCCATGGCGAAGTCATGTTGTACAGCTTCGACGGCGGGATGTTCATGCGGTTTGCATGAATCTGACACTTGTGGCATTGCCGAACAAAGCCGATACAATTCTCCTCCATGGTAGTCCAGTAGTAACCCTGGCTGAGGATCTTCCATGCTAGCATTACTCCGTTCATATGCGCACCGCATTCTCCTCCATAAATGGCCTCCATCAGGCGCTTCGATTCCTCGGCTTCAACACACAGCTTATGCATTCCTAGATGGCCTCTCTTATACAACTTACCCCCACAGATGATGAACTGAACGGCCATTCTTCTGATTGCCCTTTTATCCTTGGCATTTACCCTTGGCGGGTATGCTTCCTTCTCCAAAAAATTCCAAATGTCATAATACCAGGGGTTTTCGTCCTGAACCTCATCTATAGCAGTTTGAGGCTAGCAATGAAGTTTTATCATATGTGCCTCCTCCTGTGGTTTGGTCGCCTCCTTTGCCTAGCTGTCTTAAAGCAAACTACACCATTCGTCTCAAAATAATAGTTCTTTTTATGGATTATAACTTTTTTTGGTAGATGTTGGCTTTTTTGGCTTTCGAAGGTTATTTTTGTAATTGTAAGCGTGCCAGCAAGGATCAATCAGTCCTTACAGAAATTTAATTGCCAACCAATTATCAGACAATTGTGTTTTAGTTCTTTTAGCCTCAATGAAGAGGACTTTTACCA